AAGAAGTACAAGTTTTGGGCAAAATTACGCCTGGGATACCTATTTTTTATCCTTTATTTAGCATTTTACTGCCATTAGCTTGCTTCTAAGCAATCGTAGGAGCAGGAACTCATTGAGAACATTGTCACGTTCATTGCTGATGGCATCTGCTACGATTAGGGCTGACTTTCTGAGCGCCTGCACCTCCTGCTGGAAGTGAACAAGAAGAAGGTTCTAATTTTAACTTCTGCACTAGTAGCAAACCGCTAACATTTAGGGAAGCTGTTATGTTTCATCTCTTAGCTGTAAACACAGGCAGAGCAGAGTGAGCTAGTAGGAGTGGGAACCATTAACACAGCCTTCTATCCACCATGTTAATACGCAATGATTTTGCGCCTGATTTAAGATTTTGGATAAGCTGATTTTTTAAACTTACTTTTTCCGTGTACCCTTGTGGACATAAACAAGTGGAATCCGTGCAATTTGATTTTCGATTTGTATCACTACCGCTTCTGAATTCTTCTTGCTCAGTCACCGCTCTCTTTTTCCTCCTCCGATATTTCTCCGAATCGAAAATGTACCCGATACAAATACCTTTGTCTGTTGCGAGCTCACAACTGCACCAACCGCTTAAACAGGCCAATCCGAGCGGACATTCTACGTCGCTGCGACATTTCATCGTACGATTCAGCTGGCGCTTGCGAAGTGAAGCTCGATGAATGCACTGATGCTGGAATTCGACGAGCGATGGTGGACAGCGACAGATCGAGTGCACGCATATAGCACCAGCTCGACACGCATCAGTGCCTTGCGTGCTGTTACACGGTTGACCAGGATAGAGGAAGCCTGCAAACGGCCGGTGAGTTAACTCAAAAGCGAGTGAGTTGTTCATGCATTAATCCAGGGAAATAGTTAAAATATCTGATAATGTTAAGGGGAAATGTTTTATATCTGAAACAAACAGTGATACGCACTTCCCCTCCCCCCTCTCCCAGAAAATTTCTGTTAGTGATGTTACTGGGATGCTCCCACACGCCGGTTGCAGTTGATTCGATCCCGGGCTGTGTAGCGCAAGTTGATACCCAAACATTAGACAAGGCACACAGTGGTGTTAAGTGTGAAATTGGAACAGATTAGCATGCATTGGCAAAAATTTTTAAATCATTCGGGGTAAACTTGGACGTTTGGCTAAACAAACATATCAGTGCATCATGGTTGGAAATGTTGGCGATATCTAGAAAAAAACAAAAAACCGACAACAAAACTTTTTTGTAATAAAATGAAAATTCGTATGATTAGGCAGGAAATAATTATCCAAGAAATGTCAAAATAACGAAGGAATTTGTGCTTATTGTTTTTTTTTTTCAAAGATAGTACTACCAAGGGCACCAACAACACTCGAATAATTAGTGCGACGGCTCGATGTTAGTTGCTGCTGGGATGCTCCGAACGCGGCTTTGCCAGCCCAGTAAAAAACCGTGTTTCTTAATGTTCCGTCATTTCCTACGATAGAGAAAACTATCACATCGGACGGCTTTTTGCGAAATTATTGGAATGGATAACAGGCATCAACTAAGAAATGGTTCTGGTGCAACTGTGATTTGGCTAATCTTACCCACTTTATTAAGACTATTTTCCACTGCTGTCGGAACTAGGAATTGTTCAGAATTTTAAAACCCAGGCTGGAACGCACCAGGCGAGCCGGTGCGATCATGCGTTTTTGCATCAAACTT